CCTTTTCCCTGGTGTAAGTGATTCTCCTGCACTGACATTTAAAATTACTCCATTTACAACAATTTGATCCATATGCCTCTTTCAGGTACTTAGATCTGAATGCTAGAAGCATCTGTAAGATTGTAGTGCTCAAAATACTATTCTACTATGTTAATCAAAGAAAAACATACCTGAACAAATTAAGTAAATGATAATTGAATTTCTCAGATCCATTATAATTATATCCCTTTTAGGGTCACTAATTTTTATTTTTTTTAATTTCTCTTATTATTTTTTAACATCTTTATTGGAGTATAATTGCCTTACAGTGGTGTGTTAGTTTCTGCTTTATAACAAAGTGAATCAGCTATACACATACATATATCACCATATCCCCTCCCTCTTGTGTCTCCCTCCCACCCTCCCTATCCCACCCTTCTAGGTGGTCACAAAGCACCGAGCTGATCTCCCTGTGCTATGTGGCTGCTTCCCACTAGCTATCTATTTTTCCTTTTTTATTTTTTTAACATCTCTGTTGGAGTATAATTGCTTTACAATGGTGTGTTAGTTGCTGCTTTATAACAAAGTGAATCAGTTATACATATACATATGTTCCCATGTCTCTTGCCTCTTGCGTCTCCCTCCCTCCCACCCCTCTAGGTGGACACAAAGCACCAAGCTGATCTCCCTGTGCTATTGGTCTGCTTCCCACTAGCTATCTATTTTACATTTGGTAGTGTATATATGTCAATGCCACTCTCTCACTTCGTCCCAGCTTACCCTTCCCCCTCCCTGTGTCCTCACGTCCATTTTCTATGTCTGTGTCTATATTCCTGTCCTGCTAGGGTCACTAATTTTTAAATGTTGTATTTTCATCCACTAGAACAGCTCATATTTGAGAACTACTTAGGTATTCATCTACTCATAAAATGAATGTTAGCACACATTTGTATACTTTTAGCACACTTTTTTAATTTATTTGTCATTTTTAAGTCCAAAGTGACTGTGATGCTGTTAAAACTAATACTAGCCTAATTTGCTCATCAGTGTTGTCCTGTTAGTTCCAAAAATGCCTTGGCATTGATCCATTAGCTGTATAAGAAAAATCTGTTTAATGAAATTTCTCAAGTTCCTCTTTGTTCCTTTATATCTAAAATTTCTCACCTTCTATGACACAGCATCAAATCTGCCCTGTATTTAGTCCTTCTGAGTTTATGGGATTCAACATGCAGCACTTCCTCAGAAGTGGTCTTACGTAAGTCATTGTGACAGGGCCTTTGGTAGTGCCGTGAGGGTCCTTGGGTGAGGAACTTTACAAATGAAGAAACAATGATAGAAGTACTCTTGATCATTTATTTTGCATGGGACTCACTCTGTTATAGCTAAGTAGTACCTCAATAAAGTCCAAATAAAATACCGAAACAAAATATTGGAATTTAAAACACTATTTCCTATAATCACGTGGACGAATAAGACAATCAGAGAAACTCCAGTGGCTTGAATTAAATTACTGCTCTGCTGTGAATCCATGGCCCCACTCAGCCTCCTGAAGCCAGAGAGGCCACTGGGGTAGGAATTCGATTATGCCACTACTGAAACTTAGGTAGTATGTTTCCAGATTCCACCAACAGATGGCTCCTTTAAGCATTCACCTCAGGAGCTTCACGGTGGTCACCTCCACTAGGAAGCCATCTTTTTTTTTTTTTGGCTGTACCACCGCTCAGCTTGTGGGATCTTAGTTCCTCAACCAGGGAGTGAACCCAGGTCCTCGGCAGTGAAAGCACAGAGTCCTAACCACTGGACCGCCAGGGAATTCCCTAGGAAGTCATCCTTGACCCTCCCATCAATCCATTTCAGTTCAAGTGCCCCTCACAGCATCCTTATTTCTCCGTATCTTATCATCCATCATGCACACTGCCACTGTGGTTGTAGGTACCCATTAACCACATAAGCCTGTGAATTCCTGATGTACAGCGACCTTGCTTTGAATTATGTTTCTTACCCCAGCACTCAGCATGGTAACTTGGCATACATTTCTTATCCCAGCACTTAACAAAATAACAGGACCTCAATACGTGTTTGTTAAATACAGTCTTCTTTCCCTTCTTCCTTCCACAAATATTTATTGAGCACCAACTATGTGTCAGACACCATTCTGGGAACGGGAGATACAGCAGAGAACAAAACAGACCAAATGAAGCTTGTATTCTAGTAGGGGGAGAAAGACAATTAACAACTAAAAAGTCTTAAGTATGTCCAGTCATTGAAGTGTCATGAAGGAAACTAAAGTAAAGGAAAGGGATAGAGAGATGTGAACAGACTTCTATTTTACACACAAATGGGCAACTGGCTCATTGAACAAGTGGGACTTGTAAGTAGGTACAATTAGAAAACAAATTTATTCTTCTTCCATCGCTGCCCATTCATAGTTACTTGGAGGGGCTTATTCTTTTTTATGCTCTTTGATGAAATATAGGACAGACTCCAGGACTTTTCTGGTCACTCTCAGATAATATATTGATAAAAACCTTCTTGCTACTTCTGTCTCAAGAAGAACCTTTTTGAGGTAAGTAAAATGCCCAGTCCCATGTACTAGCCAAAACTTCATTTAAAATGAAAGATTCTCATTCCTCCACCTTGGGCATGTTTTAGTCTGGTCTACTTCAGTTGGCTTCTTCCCAATTGTCCGCGTTGGACTTCTTCCTTATACACCACCTCATTCTGGCTCCTTGAGCGTTTAAGATGAGGGTGAGGGGACATGAGGAAGGAGAGAAGCAAATGCAGGAAAAGTGGACATGTAATCTTGTTTTGGTTTCCTCTGGGCGTGTCTGTGTCTGACCCTGTCTGGTACTGAAGGACGTTCAAAGCTGACTTCCTTAGGGTGTTCTAATAGAAGCTGAGAGCCTTTCTGGGAACATTCAATGGTATGTTCTGTGATGCAGGATGCCAATTTCTGCACTTAAATGTCCTGTCTTAGCCCATAGGAATACAGTTGATCCCTCTTCCATCCCTACATGAGGTGCTCTTGGGCAGGCTCTAAAATGGCTCCCTGTCATCTTTCTCTTTTACATGGCCCATATCTGATCCCCCAAAGCCACATCTGGGCCTGAATACTCACTTATCCTTGCCCCACCACTCATGTATATGTAGCTAGTTCCTCTCTTTCTGCTCTGCTGCTTCAGACAGATCACCAGAGCCTCTTATCTATAACTTCACGAGGAACCCAAGGGGGTTTGCAGATGAGACTTACAGCACACCTTTTTCAAAATCCTGTCTCTATTTTCAAACTGAATTTTGGCTTTGCTGAATGTTGGGAAGCAGACCCAAGTTTGGTTCAGTAACATTCCTATCTAATGCACACTGTAAACCTGGTAGAGGAACGACAAGGTTTCAATGACTATGAACGAAAGTCATAAAGAAGGTAAATATTATTTGTACATCCTCTATTAAACTAAGGCTTAACTGCTACAATGCATGGAATATAAGGAATGAATATTTGAGGTTCCTACACCTCATATTTCACTTCATCTCACTTCCTCCCACAATCCAGAGACCAAGAAGATTTTCACTTATCAAAAATAAATGTTTTTAAGAGTCAAAGATGCTAAGTGCATGCCAGGCAATGCCTGCCTTGCCCAACTTGTTCTTGTCCTCACCATGCTCAAGAAAGCAAGGGTAAGCTGGGTTTGGGAGAGCAGGGCAGAGTGGTTATTTTCTGAGTTGGGCATTGGCCTCTAGAGCTCCATCAATGTGCTGGCTAATGACCAATCAGGCAGCCTGGTGCAAAGGCAACAGGGCAGGGTTGAAACTGAGGAAACCATCAGAATGCCCCTGAGATTTAAGCTGTGGGACAAGAGGAGAACAGAGCAGAGAGAAACAGAGACGCCAAGAGAGATTGTGTGTGTGTCAGATAGAGAGAAGAGAGAGAGAGACAGAGAGAATGCCTTGCTTTAGAGCCACCTTGGTTCCTGTAAGTGTCCTTGTTCCACATCCAGGCAGCCGTATTTTTATAATATATTCCCATTTTTCAGGCTATCCTTATTGTTCTCTGTCTATGGTAAACTATAACAGAAAGGGAGGAAACAGCATGGACTCTGCTAAGCTAATTCATTCCCATCACCCTGGAGAACACAGAATTTTCTAGAACCATTCCCAAAGTAGAATTATGGATCTTCCTAGGCTTACCCTTTTTCAAAGTAGCCCAGCCTTTTGGGGGCAGAATATGATATACAAACACAGTCTTCTCAACACATTCACATCCATCCTTGTCAAATTACCAGCTCTTCAGGCCCCAAGGCCATCCTATAAGGTTGAACTGAATCTTCAACTAGTCCCAAAACTCTTGACATTGTAGGACACAATTTGGGACTCTTTAGGGAGTTGAGTTCCTGCACACTGATTGAGCAGACACCTAAATAGCCAAGGAGTAACCCACAGCAATTCAAATAGGAAGTACCTATGCAATGGATACTCCTTTTGTAACTTAGCTGTACAAATGTTATGAGAATAATAACAGCATGCTTAAATTACTCACAATTCCATCCCCTTAAGACAAGTACAAAAGACCTGAAACCCAAAGAGATGGGTTCAGATTCTCACTCTTCCACTCCCTGGCTGGGTGACTTTGAGTAAACCACTTAACCTCTAGGAGATTCTCCCCAGTTGTAAAACAGAGATAATAATACCTACTTCACAGGGTGATGGTGAAGGTTAGAGGAGACATCTAGCAAGATGTTGCAGCTGCAGCAACAGCATCATAACAATAATAATAATTTCTTGAGTACTTTCTATGTGGTCTTGAGTTAAGCACTTCTTTGCTTTATTTTACTTAATTTTCCAATAACCTTATGAAGTACACCCATTTTACAGGTAAGGTCACTGAAGCACACAGTGGCTAGGTCACCTGCCTAAGTTACTAACACAGCTAAGAGGAGCACTGACAAAGTGCTCCTCCCTCTACGTTTTCATGTTTTACTAGGAGGAAGATTCTGGACTTAAAGAAATTAGTAGCTACTACTTACTGGGGGTTCGTTGGTTCCAAGTCGCCAATATGTTGAATTACACAGTTTTTTTACTTCTTCAGGACCCTCTATATCATAATCTTTGGGATAAGTTTCTCTGTCACGGTGCCTTAAGAAAAAAATTAGAATCTGTTAAGGGATAAAGCTTATTTATCAGGTATTGCATTTGAATGTTGTAAAAATTATGCAATGAAAATTTACTATATTTGTGACCTTGTTCTAATAATAAATTTACTGGATTTGGGACAGGTATTTCCCATCTCTTTTCAAGTAATGTTGAGGCTACTTCCTAAAAACAATTTAGCACATGTGATAAAACTAATAGTATCACGAAAACAATACTTATCCAACACAGTAATTATTCAGTGACTCCAATGAAGTGAATCTTATTTAATAATGTAGATTCGTTACTGAAATAAATTCTAAAATAAGACATGTAGTATATTAGAAAGGCAACTTACCACTTTAGAAATTTTTCTACCATGAATTTTAATTACAATTTTTTTTCAAAACGAGAGCAAAATATTTACTCATATGGATTTATAACAGTGCTTCCTGCTCCGAAAGAGGGTCTTAAGGAAAAACAGTTCTTAAAACATGTAGAAGAAAGAGGAAAAAAATATTCTGAACGTCTTGACTGAAAGGGTGGTTGGATAATAATAAAGGAGGGATTTGGGGATAGGAAAGGAAAAAGGAGGTGAAGTGGCCCACAACTGAAGTAGCTATTTTCGGAATAAATTCTAAAATAAGACATGTCTAAAATAAGACATATGTGTAATAATATTGTGTCTATCTAAAATATGCTTTGTTGGGTATTCTTAAATACTAGACAAATCCACATGCTCTCAACTTCTCTGGCCTCCTCCATCTTCAGTCCATGAACTATTCATCTACTGTGGGAGAGGGCAGCCCAGCTCTTCATCTGTTCTTCCAAATCTATGGTGTAATCCTAAAACCTAAGCTTTTGAACTCCAAAGCCAAGAATTTGGCTCTTTTGCTGCCTGCTGGGTCATTCTTCCCTGAGGTAATAAAACCAGAACACCTCCCTAGGAGCATAGGAACGAAGGGGCAAAGCACCAGTTAACATTTCAATGTATTATTTCCAGGGCCCACCTCTTTTTTTTTTTTTTTTTTAAACATCTTTATTGGAGTATAATTGCTTTACAGTGGTGTGTTAGTTTCTGCTGTATAACAAAGTGAATCAGCTGTACATATACATATATCCCCATATCTCCTCTCTCTTGAGTCTCCCTCCCACCCTCCCTATCCCACCCCTCTAGGTGGTCACAAAGCACCGAGCTGATTTCCCTGTGCTATGTGGCTGCTTCCCACTAGCTATCTATTTTACATTTGGTAGTGTATATATGTCCATGCTACTCCCCCACCTCTTTTTTAGGCACTGTAGGCACAGTGCCCAGGGCTTGTGATACTTTTAGGGGCCCAGGAGAGTGTTTTAATCATTTTTAAATCAGAAAAAAAAGAATATAATCCAGTTTGAATTATATCCATCTTTATACCAAAGCAGTCATAAATTATCATTTTAAACTTTTTTTATTGAAGGCAAAGATAATTAGTGTCCGTGAAAGTCAGAATGCAGCCTGATTATCCCATCATGTATTTTAAGTTGTATTATAACTAGATTATTACAAAAAATTCAGTTATGTTCCTTTTCTTACCGCAATCTCAGATAACAGCCAAAAGCCCAGCATTAAAACATGAATCTATAATGAAACTTTGGAGGACTGAGCTAATGCAGTTGGCATTCCCTAATGCCTGCTAGCTGCCCACAAATGATGTGCCCACAGCCTGCAGGCCCTGAGAGATACACAGCTGAAGACCTGTCCCTACTTCACAGAGGCTGCCAGCCTAGCAAAAATAAACATACATGTTTAAAAAATTATAAAATATATAAAAAATGTTAAAATATAAAACATATATTTACTATATCCTAAATATGTATTTGCTACATATAATAACAGTAAAAATGATTAGTGTATTATAAAGGAAACGGGAGGGCTAATTATTCCCTGACTTTATTATGTCAGTTGAACACTGGCTTGTGCCTCAGTTTCCCCGAGATGAACTGAGAATCATACATTGAGGACAAATCAATTGATTGAGAGTCTCAAGTGAAAAGTGACATAAAAATGCAAGTATTATTATATGTAATAATATTGTGTCTATCTAAAATATGCTTTGTTGGGTATTCTTAAATACTTTGTCAATACCAATTAAGTTTTATAGCATCTTTGTAAGACAAATATATATATATATATATAAAAATAAAAATAATCTAGGTGTTATTTATATATATATATATATATACATTTTATATAGCCTTGTTTGCCTTGCTACCTGCATTTATTTATGGTTGCCATGACTTCTCATTTACTGCAATAAAAATTCTTTATGGGAAAATAATGAATATAATGATATAAAATTTACAATGTCTCTAGAACAGTAACTTTCAAACTTATTGATAACAGACCCCACCTATATACCATTACAATCCACCCTGAGAGTTTGCCAGTGTCTGGAGACATTTTTAGTTGTTGCATCTGGGTGGGGTGGGTTGTTGCTGGCACCTAGTGGGTGGAGGCCAGCAATGCTGCTAAACATCCTACAGTGCACAGGACAGCCCACCACAACAAAGAAATATCTGATCCAAAATGTCAAAAGTACCAAGGTTGAGAAAGCTCTAGAGAATGACTGTGTACCAGATTCTTAGATCAGTGGTCCCCAAACCTTAGCATTTCATGGAGTAGCAAAACTTTACACTTAAATTTGTAAAACCAACCTAAAATTGCCAACATTTTGTCTTGACAGGAACATTAAAAATAAAATAACTATCTATCACCTTTAATAAGGAGACTTTTAACACCAAAGATAAGTAAAAACAATCTTAGAGTCTTTTAAGCTGAATAAATTTAGCTATATGAAAACCTTGCTACATTGTTACGCTGTCTTTACAGTTTGTACATCACTTTGGATTAGTAAAAAAGGTCATTATTGACCAGCACTGGTCTAGTCTACAGACTGGATCTGCAGATATTAATTTTCCCCAGACATGAATTTGACAGCAGCAGTCAGTTCAAGGCTAAAGCAGCTTGAATATAGGTATTCTGTGCTACTAACTGAAGGGAGAGCTGTGTTTTTGATGTCAGGTGTGCAGACACAGGCTGACATTCTTGCTGGGAGGAGAGCCTCCAGGACCTCCTACCAGCAGGGCCAGAATCTTCCTTGACAATCAGCCTTGTTACTGCTGAGGACTTTGCTCTATCAAGCCCAAAGCTAAATGCTGTGGCTATTTCTTTATACGAGAAATCTTTACGTAAGACATCCTTAATTACAAGAAAGGAAATTTGCTTTCTCTACCCTACTGTGGGAGAAATAGTATGAATATGAATAGAATTACAAATGGGGCAAAGGCTGACAGGACAGGATCAGACCTGTCAACTGTATAAAAAGGAGCTTGGAACCAGGACCCTGCTGTCAAAAATGCCACTTGGACTGATTCAGAGAGGATTAAGGTCAATAGAATCTAGTAGGGCAAAGATAGCATGAGCAGGTCCCATTCTAGACAACTCCCCACCACCCATCCTACAATCACCTGAACACTCTAGATCCTGAATTTCCTGTCTTCTCCAGCCTAACACAGTCTCACGTAAAGCCTTGTGAAAAGCACTTTCTGGATCTGTATCTGGGGTCCTTTGGGAGCTTGAGTTTCCTACCATAAGAGTTGGATGATTTCACATCAAATCAAATCTGTAAGTTCCCCTTGACTGAACACATATAAATCCTTAAGTGAGTTGCAGGACTAAACAAACAACTCCAGAGCATACTCAGATAGGGATCTGCAGCTCCCCTCAGGCTGCCCCAAGCCATCGTGGTCGTTCCCAGAGGAGGACAGGTGGGGTTAGACCACAGGATTATCCTTGCAGAAGAGGAGACCAAGCTACTCTCTACAGTTTCTGTGGTCCCATGACTAAGTGGGGGAAGCAAAGTGGGGATTTGCAAAGAAACCATTATCTTTATCACTTCTCCACCTTTCACATTTTAAAATAATTGTCCATTAATGAATCTTCCTTTTCATTAGACTAAGAACGTTTAGACACAGGGATCACTTTTTACTCATCTTTGTGATCTCAGTGCCTAACAAAGACTAACAAGTTGTAAATGCTTATTAAATCTTAAATGATTGATTGATTGAATTTCTTACGTTTTGTTACTGTCACCTTAATATAAATGCTGAAAGCAATGGCTTTCAAATGTGTCCATAAAAATAAAGAGTATCCCAGTGTACTCTACAAAAGCACACATAAAAAAGGAGTGATTATGCATATAGAGATGCTAGTTCTTTGCAACAAAAACTTGTCTCTAGAGGAATTATAAATCTGCTTGCTGAATGGGAAAACTCTCAGCATACATATGCATGACACTGATTGCAAAGGGGGTGTGGATCCGAGCAATATCTGATATGTGAACAATGAAAATCGAGCTGAATTCTGGTTTCTGGTTACTTGACAAGAGACACATTTTCTTTGTGAATTTCAAAGATGTTAAAATTATGTTTAGTTGGGCTTCCCTGGTGGCGCAGTGGTTGAGAGTCTGCCTGCCGATGCAGGGGACACGGCTTTGTGTCCCGGTCTGGGAAGATCCCACATGCCACAGAGCGGCTGGACCCGTAAGCCATGGCCACTGACCCTGCGCGTCCGGAGCCTGTGCTCCGCAACAGGAGAGGCCACAATAGTGAGAAGCACGCGTACCACAAAAAAAAAAAAAAAAATTATGTTTAGTTAAGACTCCAGATGGCAGAATATATTAATTTTAAATTTTAGAATTATTAATGTAGTTCACAACTACTGTGTCAGCTATTGTTATTTTCTGATGTAAATCTAAGCCAAATGAGAAGAGAAAGATACCTTTTCCATTAGGTTTTATAATCGTCTGCTATCTAGGACTTTAAGAGAAAATTACCCCAGAGAGTCAGCTATATTTCCTGACACATTAGAAGCATTAAAACAAATAGAATCAAAGACTACAAAGAAATATTTGACAATCCTCTTTAAAAATTTCACAGGCAAATGATTTATATGCCAAGATAGTGCT